AGGAATATAAAAAATGTCTTGATAAGTACAGTCCAGATAGTAAAAAGAACTTTGTACATGTAACGCTAATGATGTTATGGGAGTTAGAAAAACAAATCATGAAATGTAACCATAGCAACACACCTGCCTCAGATCTTCCCGCAGACTTGGTAGGTAGTGTGAACATAGCAGAAATCGAAATATAATAGTAATAATAAAAATAATAATAGAACCTAGTAATAATGAACACATTAAAAATAAATGAATATAGATTTTATTGAATTGTTTTGTAAGCATTTCACCCCAAATAAGGCGGGAGTACCACTAGCACGCAAGGGTTACAGAGAGTGAAAGTAAGAGTAAAGAGGAGTGTTTGAGGAAAGAATAAAGAGAATCAAGACATCAGAATATGTCGATTGACATTTAAATTTTTGAAGATTATATTTATCAGAGAAGCAAGTAAGAGGAAGGGAGTTCCACTGTCGGGAAGTGCGAGAGAAGAATATATTGGAGTAGAAGAGGCGGTTACGTTTAAATGTTTCGACATTAAAAGGGTGGGGCCGAGATGCTAACCTAGTAGCACGGTTAAATTCATGCAGTCGGGGCACCAGTGAAAATAACTCGTCGAAGCTCGTCAGAGCACTTGCTGAAAATATTTGGAGAAAAGACAGTCAGGCTCTATCACATTTCCTATCCGTCTTTGGATTTTGTGGTTGGCCTCATTAATGGTTACTGATATTTGGTTGAAAACTGATGAATTTTACCTGTAAGTCCTTGTATCGACCATTTTGGATACTCCCCTCGATATCAACTGCTTTGGGGATTCCTGATTTCACGATCGAATCTCTTAACCCATTAGGTTCGTAGGGACACCATATGTACTACAGCCGTAATAACAGTGTTGTTTCTTGGGTAGGAGAGCTTGATGAAGCCCAACACTCTCCAGGTTAGTTTGAATTCAGAGTTTTCCCTTCCTTAGAACGGTTGCCACCCAAGGCTATAGAACCCAGTATGTCCTGCTATTTACCCATAGCAGAGAGAAGAAGAGGATTCATATATTTCCCAAGAGTATTAGCGAATGTAATGGATCCGACTGGAATTCGAACTCGGCTCTCCGATTCCTCCATCCGAGCCGCTATCTATTACTCCACTGTGCCTCTTATACTCAAGGCAAATCCTCACATTTGCCTCGATAAAGTAGATCAGAGGATGAAACGTGTCGCCTAAGATAAGTTTTCCTTTTGTCTTTATTGATATCGTCCCTTTACAAATATATCTTTAGTTATATCCAAAATTCTATGCACGCGCGCGTACACACACACACACACACACACACACACACACACACACACACACACACACACACACACACAGGTAAGATGAGAACGAATAGAGTACAATTCGAACGTTCGTAACATTTAATTTAATTTTCGATTGGTTGATCAAGGTAAAGCCCTCAAGCCTATATTCTTCCTCGAAAAAAAGAAGAGGTATTTTACTTTTGAAATTAAATTAATCGTCCACTTGCCAGTAATTTGCAATCGCCTGAAGAGATGCATTGATATGCATCGAAACACGATCGCAATTGTGTAGCGATTTTTAACATGCTTTTGATTTAATATCCCAAAATAAATACACACACACACACACACACACATATATATATTATGTCAAAGTGTTTCGTCTTTCAGAACTTCGTCGGACTAAATTTGTTATGTTAGTGCGACTGCACATGCGAACGAACGAGGGATGCTAGGAATTTTGAATTTTTTATCTAGCCGATTTCATTTAGATTCTTCTTCTTTCCATCATTGGAATATTTCTAGCGAGTGCCTTGATAGCAAAGGTCATCTACTGTAAATTTGCGCCCGGCTTCTCACAACTTCTATTATCAAAGTGTGGGATATCTACTAACAAAAGTGATGGAAAAAACGGAAAAACGATTCTAGATGAAATCGACTAGAGAAAAAACAAAAAAAATTAAAAATTCCCAGCCTGCCTTGTTCGTGCGCATGCGTAGTCGCACCAACATAAATTTAGTCCGATGAAATTCTAAAGGACGAAACGTGTCGCAAGTAAACTTTTTCCACTTTGTCATACATTTTTCTCCAATATTGTTCCTGATATATAAGAACATATATCGTTATCTCATATATATATATATATATATATATATATATATGATCGAAATAAAAGTATAAAAATTAATATTACGAGACATATTAATAAAAAAACCAAAAAAAAAAAAAACGGGCGAAGCAATTGTTATCGTAAAAAAAAATAAAAAATAAAAAATAAAATCGCTGAAAACAATCGTAGTAATGAAAATTTAGGAATCCATAATATCAGGATTGCGGGTCTGGATCTGACCCAGAGTGTTTTTAATTTGCTCACAGAGACAGCCTGATTCCAAAATGGTATGATATATTGGGCTACGGCATCTTGAAGTAAAGTTGAAAAAGTGTGACACACTGACATTCGCATTTCTTATATAGATTATAGCTCTTGTTATCTATTAGGCATTTTGGCAGAAGTCATGTTGGCCTAAAAATTTCAAATTCGAGTAATTTTTACATTTTTTATTACATCTTTTCTGTCATCTATATTCGAGGTGTATTATTATTATTATTATTAAATGAAACTTTGCATAATAAAATCTGACACTCCCAGAATAAGTTATTATCAATAATTTTAATTAGGACAAATATCACACACGCTATAATACTTATATAAATATAATTTTCTCACCAGAATCTATTTTGCATGAGTCTACCATTCGTCCATGCATTGGATATTGCTGCCACATGTGGTCTGGTGCTCCTGCTCTGTATTTAGAGATTCTTGAAAAAAAATACGAACAAGAATCTGCAATGTTATTGGTTTTCACTTGGCATCTCGGCATCAGCGACTTTCCAACTGCCGTAACATAATATCCCTGTACCTTTTCTATAAATATTTACATGGCAATTGTACTGATGAGCTTTTCTCATTGGTGCCTAAACTTTATGAATTTAAGCGCAGTACTAGATTGGCGGTTAGGTCTCATCAGTATGCAGTTGAAATGGCTAGATGTAACCGTAAGTTCTATGCTAACAATTTCTTCTCTCGCACTTCTCGCTTGCGTTAGTCTCTTCCGGCTTCTTGCTTTCCAGCAAGTTTGATCTTCAAAAAATTTAAATGCAATGTCAATCGCTAATTTATGTCCTTTTAATTCCTGTATTTTTATTTCTCTTTCCTTAATAATGTTTTTTTTTTATATTCTCTGACACTCAGTAAACTTTTGCGTCTTAGTGACTTTATTGCCTTGCTTGGGAAGAATTTTACCAACATTAAATCCTCTCCTTCTCCTCCCTCAGCTATAGGTAAATGGCAGGACAGACTGAGTTCTATAACATTGGATGATAACTGGTCTACCGCAGAAAGAAATGGCAACCTACTGCGGTAAAAAATCTGCCTCATTAGTCATGTATCGAAAGATAGATGATCGCGTAAGCGTGTATCACGCATGGCTCATAACTGACTGACTGACCCTTGGGAAAAGTATAAATCCTCTTCTTCTCCTTCAGCTATGGGTAAATAGCAGGACAGACCGGGTTCTATAGCCTTGGATGGCAAATGGTCTACCGCAGAAAGAAATGCCAACCTACTGCCGGAAAAAATCTGCCTCGTCAGTCATGTATCGAAAGATACATGATTGCGTAAGCGTGTATCATGCATGTCACATAGCTGAGTGAATGGCCCCTGGGAAAGGTATAAATCCTCTTCTTCTCCTCCAGCTATGGGTAAATAGCGGGACATACCGAGTTCTATAATCTTGGATAGCAGAAAGAAATGGCAACCTACTGCAGGAAAAAATATCTGCCTCGTCTATCGGAAAGGTAGATGATCAAGTAAGATCGTATCATGCATGGTACATAGCTGACTAAATTGGTTAATCCTCGTCTTTTATCTCGTTTGGATTAAGTACTAATCAACTCCCAATTGGTTAACTATCTCACTTCCTACGGGCCTTCTTTCAGATAAACAATATGACTTTCGTTTCTCTAAGTCAACCACTGATGTGTTAACTGTTATTACTGAATTTGTCCGTCAAGATTTAGATAAGAACGGCGTGGCTCGGGCTTTAGATTATCTCGAAGACGTTTCACAGGGTTTGGCATGCTGGCATTCTTCCCAAGCTCACGGACTATGGTGTCTCTGGCCTTATATCTGAATTAATCCAAACGTTCTTAATCTTGTAATGAAAATGGTTTGGAACGACCACTCTTCTTGATCTAGTATAATGCCGGAATACATATTGCACTAAAATTTAATACCCAACCATGAAAGGAAGCCAGGTGCAGCGTTGACGTTGGGTTAGTTCCAGCCACCGAATACAGAAGTACAGATCCATCGGTATTGTAAGCGTGAGAACGAGAATGTGGACAGATGGATGTATAAAACAACGACCCCGGCGATTATTCGGGCAGTCTAGCAGACAGAATATAATGACGAAGTCTCGGTTGAAGGCGTTTCGGGGCCGTATAACCGTTTTTGGCCGAGAGTAATTGACAAAGTTCAGAGTTAAATAAAATAAAATGTAATGCTTGGCAATGGAGATTCAAATATGGTGTTATATTTCAATCGGTATCCCCACTTCATTACAATTGACTTGTATAATAAAATTTGACATTGTGTATTTATAAAATGATGTATTAAACAATTTGCTCGAAAGAATAATCTAAAATATGTTTTGTTTACAAAGTTCTTTCCTGGATAGGAAAACAGTTTTGACAAGCATTTTTCCAAATTCATATCATTCTCATAACAAAGCAAGAATGTTTAATTTTGCTTAAATAATGAATGCTAGTTAACAAAAACATCGACGTGACACCAGTTTAAAAAGGAAAGGAAAGAAAGAAAACAAATCTCCGACATTCCTCCAAAATCCTTTTCGAATAATTACCTGATCGCATCGAGCATAAAAGAAGGGAAAACAACTGAAGTGACCATTATTTTTTCAGACTCCCGAAGACGACAAGATGATTTCCTTTTCAGTTTTAGTCATTTATATGTTTTCTTTTCTCATGATGGCCGCCAACGTCAAATTCGCCGCGGCCGACGACTGCGTCGAAGGTAAGTAACTATAGTCGGTTTTATTTATTTATTTCTGGAAAAAAAAAAAAAGAATCAGTAAATTTGCTGGGGAATTGCGCAAGTAACAATAGTTTTTTCTTTTCTTTTTTTTTATTCATAAAAATTCGTTTGCAGGTATTTATACTCAACCAACAATAGCAGAATGTGACATTTTTAATTTTTTTTAGGGTTCTCTGCGACGTTCCAAAAAAAAAAAAAAGCTGAGAAAACGCTTTTTATATAATTTAAATATCTACTTTGGAGTTAAATTCTGTTTTTCTTTGAAGAATAATAGCCTGAAGTCAATCCATAAAAAAGAAAAACATTTTTACATCCCTAAATAAATTTTTTCAGACATTTTGAAAAAAAAAAATTAAACTCACTTCTGCCCACTTCAATTAGTGAATTTGATGAATGACAACAAAAGAGAAATTAAAAACTTAAAAATGTCTGAAAATCCAATATCTGTCCCAAACATTTGTTTCATATAAAAACAGTAAATATAAGGATTAATTAATTAGATTTTGTAAAAATATTACTTGCTTCTTTTGCAAAAATATTCTAACAAAAATACATTTTCCTAGGTACCTCCACTAATTCGCTGAAAAAATAGCATAACATGATAAAAAATTCTTGCAAAAATCAAATAATTGTCGGATTTTACTGAAACTTTAGAACATGTTCAGAAAAGAATGAAATTATTTTTGGATTTTTTAGAAAATTTTGGTAAAAATAGATTTTTTTTTTTTTTTTTTTTTTACATTTGTTACTCCCTCTTATTTTTATGAAATTTCGAGATATTAAAATTTCAGCCTCTTCATATTTATAGTAGTTAAATGCAGGAGTCCTTGGAGAATTTAAATCATCAATTTGTTTTTGTCGAACAGCAACAACACCATACCGAAAATATGCTCGGAATCGTAAAATAAAAAATGCAGTAAAACTATGACATTATTTAATTAGTAAAGCTTTTAACTGCTTCATAAATAATATATATTAAGGACCTTATTGTCTTACGAAAAATTCGATGTATAATTAATTTTTAAAAGAATTGTTTTTCATTTTTTTTAAATTTTCATTTTTTAAAATTTTAATTAGAAAAAATTAAGTTATAAATCTTTTAAAATTCTGTATTAATTTCAACCATTTAGATTATATTATTATTAAGTGAAAACTGTATTTACTAATCATAAATGGCAAAGCTTAATACCAGTCTTCGAACACCAAAATTTTTAAAATAATTAAAAAATTAAAAAAAAAATCTATATAAATGTGCCCATTTTTGAAAGTATGGTCAACCATACATGACATTATCAGAAAATATAAGCGATGACTATAGCAAATTTAAAGTCAACGTTAATAAAATTAGATTACTGAGAATATTTCCTTGAATTTTAAGATTAGTGAGTACTTAAAAATTATATAAAATAGGCACTTATATCATTTTCTTAAGTGATGTTTTACAGATAAAGTTTCCGTAGATGAACATTAGATCTGTCATCTTGTCAAACACATAAACATGGCTACCGTCCGTTAAAAACATTGCTACTGTTTGCTTATAAAATTCATTACATTGTGATGAAAGACGACTAAAAAAGGCGCTAAGTCAGTTATTTTAGCAAAATAAAAAAAACAACAAAAAAACTCGATTCCAATCAATATAATTTCTGATTGAAATACACCAATGTATTTTGCTTATTGGAAATAGTAAATTTTAAATCCTTTAGTTTTCATTTTTCAAAATTCATTTTAAATCTTAGCAGAGGCGATTCTAGAACTCTGAAAGTGTTGCGCTTGTGGGGCGAGATTCAAGCAGCTTTTTTATTTTTTATACTAAACCACTATCGTATACACAATTTAGAAATGAGTTTTAAGTATGTTACTTCACTAAATTAAACAATAACTTTCATTCATAGTATTGGAGTTCTAATCTATTCTTGCCCTCTTTTCCACTTTCAAGCTGTTGGACCACAAGAGAGGGGTTAACTTCAAAACAAAATCAAAGGGTTAATAATACTAACGTCAATACTAGCAGAACAGTGTAATTTGTCTGCTCTGATTTTTTTTCCTCTGCACAACTTTAGTTTTCGTTTTTCAAAATTCATTTTAAACCTTAGCAGGGGCGATTCTGAAACTCTGAAAGTGTTGTGTGTTGAAAGTGTTGTGTGTGTGTGGGAGGGAGGTAACTGATTCGCCACTGGATCTTAGGTGCCACGAATTAGTGGAGGTACCTATTTTCCCCAGCAGAATATGTCAAACGTTTAAAGATTAAACAATTATCATTGCAAATGCGCTACAATTAAAAAAAAATTATAAAATCGTGCCATATATAAAAATATATGGAAGCACATTGATTAAAAAAAAAACTTCGAAAATGTATTTTATGAAAGGTACATAATTCAGAAATTTAGTTTTTTTTGATAATCCGTAGAATGAACCCCCCCCCGCAAAAAAATTATTGTAAATTAGAAAAATAAATAAAAAGCATTTATTTTTGAAAAAAAAATTGATTTGAAAAAAATACTTCCACAAAACTTAAAAAAAAAAATCTATATAAATGTAAAATATTCATTAATGAATAAATGCGGAAATTTAAGTAAAATCTAATAATTCTCAGATTTTTGGTAAATTTTTAAAAACAGAGAGTATCTTCTTTTTGTTTCACGTGTCGAAAGCGTACGTGATTTTGGAGGTATCCAGCAATTTTTTTAATGTGGCATCAAGGTCGGCTTTAAGCCAAATTGGGTATATTAGTCCCAGTTTGTCCCTGCGTCTAAGGGGACACCCCGCCTAGGTAAGCTCTTAGTTTTGTCAAATGCATAAAATACATGAGATCTTTTTTTTTTTTTTTTTTTTTTTACAGTGAGGTTCACCCTATACAAGGCCCGGGAGCCGGGTAGAGGGTTACAGAGTAAGAGGCACAGTTTGTGCGGATATATGGGGAAGATAACGGTTAACCCTAGACTTGAACAGGTTAAGATTGTAGTGACCGAGGAAACATCCTCTAGGGAGTCGGTTCCACAAAGCAGTGGATCGCGGAAGTAGCTGCTCGAGTGGAACTTCTCACCAGTTGAATACGAAGGGAATGAAGGTGGTTCACTTCAATGCGTGTAGCATGGCGGGCCCTAGCTGTGAAGGTTAGAATTGGAGGGAACTAAGGAATGTAGTTCGTCTGAGCACTTTCCATGGAAGTAGCGATAGAGCAGTGATAGGCCTGCAACATTTCATCTTTAAGGAAGGGGTTGTAAGGTGGAAAATAATTTGTCACCCACAAGGACCCGGAGACGCTTTTGGACTCTATGGAGACTGGAAAACGATGACGGGGCAGCTCCTGTCCAAATATGGCAGCAATACTCCATTTTAGATACACGAAAGAACGAAAATTTATAGAGAATATAAACGATTTTAATTAACTTTCGTATTTTTAAAAAGGCAGTGTTTACTTAAAGGGTTTATATTTTGAAATTATTTTTTTAATGTATTTTGCATTAAATAATTTTAATTGGTTCTAGACGAGCGTAAAAATGTATTTCCCCGAAAAAAAAGAAGTCAAATATATAATACGTTTAATAGATCCTATTAAGAACTTTGAATCTAGACCTCCCGCATAGAATATTTCAAACTGGGACCTGATCTTCTGTGTAGGAGATCTCAAACTCACCCGATACAAGGCTCTATACCAAGTTATTCAAAAATTGTCATAACTGCAGACACCAGGATGTGATTCTGACTCAGTAAAATGACGTTATACTTCTTGCATGACTCATCCCCGAACACTAGGTGTCAAATAATTAATCGTAAAACATGCCAGCGAATTTGATTTATTTTTAATTTTATTCAAATTTAAGAGGAATATATTTATATGCCAGGTAATCCCTATTTATTGGAGGCATAGCGGCTCGGATTGAGAAATAGGAGAGCCGTGTTCGAATTCCAGTCGAGATCATTACATTCACTTTCCCTTGGTAAAATTATGAAACCGCCTCTACTGCCCAAGCTGTGAGTGCATAGCAGGACAGACTGGATCCTATAACTTTGGATGGCAACTAGTTTAGGAGAAGGGCAACACTGAATTCAAAACCTAGGGCACGGACCGAGAGTGGCTCACACCACACGTGGTCTCTGTTAACAGTTTAGAGAGGAGATGGGCGCCGTCAAGATATCTGAAAGTCCACTGAAAAGATCACGAGGAAGAAGAATCAATTTGATTCTTCTGTTCCCAGGTCCACCCCCAACCGACGATTGAAACAGTCGAGAGTTAAAAAAGAAAATTTCTATCAGGCTGAGATGTGTTTTTGAATACTAGGGTTAAGGGGAGTTCCATGTTAGTGTAACTACTACTATTTCAATCTATTTATGTCGTTCTATGCCAATTTTATTTATATATCAATAGAAGCCGCTTCATATCTATAGGATCATTGCAAAAGTTCGTGTTCGATTTGCATTGTTGATACAGAGTGCGATGGCTCCCATTTATATTTTTAATTTCACGCATGCGCGTTGTTTGTTTTTAATTTTGTCGACTGTGCGGTATAGAAGGGTCAGTTAGGCACCGTCTGTGAGAAAAAGAGCACCATAACGCAAGTCATTCCGCCAGAAATTTGGAAACAGCATACTGTACTGCTTGCCATTCGCGCCGGTGTGTTTGGGTGTCAATCTGAGGACAGTGCAGAGTTCGGAAAGAGTTGGATGATATTTGGAGTGATCACTAGTGATGGTGACGTTATGCCTCCATTCATCTTCGCACAGAGCCTCGGACTCAACATGGAGGCCTACACCAAGTGCCATGAGGAGGTAGTGCTGCCCTGGGTTAAGAGGGTGGTAGCTGGACACTCTGCCACACAAGCAGGAGAACCCAATCATAGCTGTCAGACAATTTCTACGACCACATCACCCCTTACATCTGGCCCTCTAACTCCCCCGACTGCAACCCCTACCTTGATTATTATGTGTGAGGCGTAGTTGAGTGGGAGACCAACAAAACTCCTTGTAACACCAAA